TTAATATAAATTTCTAACTGATTATTATTTATTGATGATCTGGTACATTTACTGATAATTGTTTAATGATTCATTGTTTCATTGAATATCAAATGTATATTATCTTAAGCTACCATTACCTTTTTTTATTCTACAATAATTTTTCAAGTAGTAACTATAATGTGCCAGGCACAATTCTAAATATAAAGGACAGAGCAGTAAACAAAGACACCAATGTCCACTCTGGTGGTATGAGAGAGATAAGATATTTAATGATTATTCTAATCTCTCAATGAATATGAAGGATCAAGGGAAAGGTTCGGGAGGGTTGAGGAAAGAGAAGAAGATGTGACATCATTTTGGAGAGTGCAAAGGTGGCCAGCTAGTAATGTGTATTAGAGCTTCTAGGCAACATGGAGTGTCCATTTAGCCATGTCTTTAAAAAAGGGATTGCCAAACACAGTTGCCAGTGTTTCTTCAGCCATTTTCAACTGTCTGAGTGCAGGAAAGTAATTGGTTTTGGTTAAGATTGGGACTTTTCCAAGGAGGTACAAGAAAGGAAAAGGATCAGGGAGTCAAGGGTATTTTAAATGGAGTACTTGTAATAATGATGGAGTATGGAATCTAAGCTATGTTAGGATGGAAGTGAGGTCATGAAGAGAATAATATTAATAGAACCTGAAAATGTGATAGGGAAATTGAATTGACAGTTTTAAATGAGATTGGGGAATTTTAGTAAGATGAAAACTAAAGTAGGTGAACTGAAAGGTTAGAGGAATGACTAGAAAGTAAGATGTTTAAAGATAACAGTGTGAAGGTACTAATGATAACATCACGAAATGAACAGACGAGCTAGTAATTGATGTGAGGTACAGGAACATGTCATCAGAGGTGAGGATGGACAACAATTCAGAGTCCAGTGCCATGGATATGCCAAAACCAAAGTGGTGACAGGGGTAGGAAGAGAAGGGATTACAACGAGGGACATTCTAAAGTCATTAATTCATGAAGTGTTGGTAGATGACTGCTACAAGGTGAGTAGCTGGTAGTAAGGTTGAAGACAGGAACTTCAGAGGAATTGGGGATTTTTGAAGATAAAGAGAGGAGAAAAGACTGGGAAATGGCTAGGTAGAGTCAGCTTCCACTGGCAAAGATTAGGAAGGAAATTTTCTAAGCAGAGGTAGAAGATGAGAAACCATGTGATCCAATGGGTGTGGTGGTGGAAAGCTTAGAAGATGGAAAAGAATGAGAAATTGAAAATCGGGTTATGCATGTAGCTAGTGCTGTGGGTCCAGGTGATCATGGAAGACATTCAGAACAGGCTTGGGATGGTGTAACTATTGTAGTTTCTTGTGATGAGTAACAGGCATGTGAGATATAACGGGGTTAGTTACCATGGTCTCTTGGGGTAAGTCAGGTAACTGCTCTAAATTAAAATGCATGGTGCCAGGGGCCGGCCGAGTGGCTCAGTTGGTTAAGAGCTCACTTAAGAGTTTGAGCTCTGAGCAACAGTGGTTCAAGTCCTGGCCCGAGCTGAGCAGCCGCTGAACTGCCAACAGGTGGCGGGATGGCTCAGCTAAAAAAAAAAAAAATGGTTCTCTAAAATTCATGATGCCACACTAGGATTCTATTCTCCCTCTGGAGTGCCTGGGGTGGTGGTGACCAAGGAGTGCAAGAATACCCGCTCAGAAATCTGCTGTCCTGTGAGCAAGCGGCTCTCTGAGAGGTGGGGCTGTGTTGGGTTGAGCACAGGTCATCTCACCAGGAGCAGATCAACCCTCCCTTTTCCATGTTGATTGAGTTTCCTATAACAAAAGGCTTTCCAAAACCCTAAACCTAGGCTCAGACCTAAAAAGAATAACTGTAATTGTGTATTGAGGCAATAAAAAAAGACTTGGAGGTGGGAGAGGGGGTGCCCACTGGAGATGAGACAACAGTGCCAGGATGCTCTGTGCGCTCTGGAGAAGCCTTTACTAATTTGCCTGGACTGCTGTAACTGAGAATAAGGGCACAATGGTGTTATAGAAAACTAGCTTTTTGTTGTAAGGAAAATAAAGCGATGATATGTGGTTAGTTTTTTTTTTCATTATTTGGTATGAAATGGTACTAATCCAAGTTTACTGAAATTACACTGACTTTCGCACACAGTGAAAACTGCAAAACAAAGTGGAATGTTCAAGGATAGACAATAGCAGCAGAAAATTAATTCAGGGATGGGATGGTTATTTTAAATTTAATTCTGCAGGTAAAATCTAAAATTTATAAGAATTTTGGTTTCATGAAAATGTGGAGCTACACTCCTTTTTGAAATCACTTTAAAGAGATAAAATTGCACTGTAGTACTGCAGAAAATGGAACAGAATAGCTTAGCATGCCAGGAAAAACAAAAAGTTATTTGAAATGTTATTCAGCCCTCTCTCAATGTATGCCTTGAAAAATCAATGCCAATAAACAGCAGCATTGAGTAGAGAGTCGTTTAATCCTTAAACCAGTGCACTTGTTAACTTTTTTCAAATATTCATAAATTTTACAAAGGGCTTTTTAAAAGTTTTGTTTGTTTAGCAAAGAGAAAACATTTCTGCATATAAATTATTTGGCTGCTCAAATTCTGTTCACTACTTTTTTTCACACTACATTTATTGACATAAGAGCTAGAAAGGATATTGAAGAGGCATCTATTCTACCTCGATGCCTTTAAGCAGAACTACACTAGAATTACCCCAAAGATTAAAAAAACTACCTCACATTTTACTACTTACATGAAACATTTCCTTTTTCATTTCCTGTCACTATGCTGCTCCAGCTGCCATCCATCCTACATTTAGCGTAACAAATCTGAGTTTTGCCTGCCCTTTAAATCCTTCCATCAAGTAATTTCTCTAATGAAATGTATCTTGACTGTCTGAAATCTGAAAAAGGCTGTAACCGTGTGAGAGATTACATACCCTCTGAATCTATGTGCCCCATTATCACATAATTTTCTGAATATATATAATCCCCCTTTTTTTTCTATTCCTATCCTAGGTAGGTATTTTCATGTCTAAATACAATAGGAATATTTGTTGATTTTTCTCATGCTCGTTATTTCCAATAAGCTAAATGCACAGAGTTAGTATCCATGTGCTTACTACTATAAGGAAATGCACTGAAAGAAATTGAAGATGCTAATAATCTAGTTGAGAAGATGTGAAATAAATGTGTATTTATTAATCCTTTACTATATGTGACTATTGTCCTAGGTGCTAAAACACAAAAATACATGGAAACTGTATATGTATATCAACCACATATAGTTAATTGGGCATAAATACATACAGGAAACCATGAAAATTGTAAAATTCCAGTTTGCCAGCTCAAGTTATTAGTGAGGAACCTACTGTTTCCCTTCTTCATCATGTGCGGTAGCTCTCCCTTTGTCTGCACTTTGATCTGAGAGCTCTGTAGCCTGGCTGAGGTCTACAGTGCTGTTCCTGTGAGTGTACAAGTAATTTCTTAACTGAAATCTGAGAAGAAACAAACCTCACAGTGGATAGAAACATGGATGTCATGACACTTCCTGTGTAACCCCATTAAACTTCCTCTCTAGGTGTTATGGCTTCGGAACGTCTCTCTTTAATCAGGTTGTAGTCTCTATCATGTGGGCTCCGCAAGGTTAAGGTATTTGAACGTTTTATAAGACTAAATGGATTGCCAGCGTGGAATCAATGATGGAAGTGAAAAAGAGTTACCATGGTCTTATATATATCAGGTGCGAACTTGTGATGAATAGGCACTGGGGTGTTTCAGGGTTGTACCTTAGGTGACAGTTTCACTTTCAAGTCAATAAACGAAGTAGAGTTGAAACACTAACATTTGATTATTGCTTCCCAAATCTGAGCATCCCTGCCTATGTACCAGGTGATATCTAGAGCGTTAATGACCAGAAGCTTCAATCTATAAGGTGCCGGTGATGCTGAACTCACAGTCACCTACAGTCTCTGGAACCCTGAGTCTCAATTGCATGTCTGTTGTCCCTCTGCAGATTGCAAACGATTGGAGAGTTATTGACTCTAACAATTTTGACCCCGTGGGAAACAAAGACCTACTCCTCTGTGTTCTTTTCCTCTTTTTCCCTGTTACAAATCAAAGAAATCCCTCAACGCTAAACAATAATAAGAATGGTCATTTTGTTCATATACTCTTTTGAAAAGATTAGTGACAAATCATACACATAAAACAAAAGAAAAATAACAGGACATGTAAAAGAAGTATGGAGTCAAGTAGTAAATGGGTGTGGGGAAGGGGTAGAGAAAGCAAAAAATTACCCTATAAAATCAGTGTTAAGGTAAGCTGCAACTGAGAAGAAAATTAGCTCTGAGATTCTGGTGAACAAAGGAAACAAATAGAAGCACAGGGGCTTCTTAACAGATTGTCAGGAGAAATTTTTTTTTTCTAGCTCTGAATTATTAGAGGAATTTATCACCTGGGCCTTAAAATAGGGGTCATTGAACAATATTACGGATGGAGACTGCATTAGCAATTTTATTAAAAGTCCTATTGGCACTTCTTAGATCTTTCCTAGATAAATGATATTTAATATGTAAAAAGTTAGAGCTAGCATTCAAACTACTACTGTTACAATAAAAATGCCCATGACAATATTTTAAAATACTTTAGTTCTCTGCTACTTACTACCACCAGTCCCCAATTCCCTACTCCCATTACCTGTAGTATTCCAGTTATTCACTAAAATAGTTAATACAATCATTAATAGTATTGTATTAACAATGGGAATAATGCTAAAAAGTGACATGTGAAGCCTAGAATCTGAAATTGGGACAAGACATACAAGGTATTCTCTTCCAGTAGATCTTAAGCCTGCGCGTTCATCACAGCTCCCTAGCGAGCCTGGGAAAATCCGATTTCCAAACCTAGCTCTCAAAGATTCTGTTAGTAGTTCAGAGCATAGGCTGAGAAATATGTTTTTGTTTTTTTTAAGGAATCTTCCTATGCAATTAGACATGGAGGAATCACTCATCCGATCCAGTCTCCCATCCAACACAGGAAACTTCAGTCCACATGGTTGGAAGTCAGTTGTCCAGGCCATGTTGTGGGAAACCCTGACTTCATGAGAAAGGATGTTTACATTATTGGAAAGTTCTAATCATCAAATCACGTTTTCCTCCTAAAACAATAATCTTAAGGATGTTTCATTTCATTTCTGATTAAGCTTTCATTGTTAGGGGCTGCTAACCCATATAAAGTTCTCAGTTCCTGTAGTTTATGTATCAAATATTTAGTGATCCTGAAATAAAATGTAAATGCATCACAGGAAGTCTATTAAAATAATCTTTTAGGGGACTCTTTTGTAAGTGCATCATGCCATGGGTCTATTCATCCTTAAAGTGTATATATTGTAAGTTGGAATATATTTTCTTAAAGTTGACAAGTCTTATTCTAATACTAAAAAAATTTTGAACATCTTTATATCTACTGTCAAGTTGATATCTTCATTGTGAAAGTAAATCTTAATTATTTCCATTGGGGGTTTTTTTTAGCATAATTTGGAATTATTTACTTACAGTAATTATTGCTATTTCAAATGCTTCTCTAAAAATTCTGCCTCTAGGAAATGACTTTCATTTCACTACTTACAGCCTTGATGTTTAGAATTCGACCTGAAATGAAGATCTGAGACTGTTTAACATGAATAATAAATGACTAGAATAATTTACGAGTTATGCATCTCAAATTCAGTGAATAACAAAGAAATAAAATTTCACATTAAAAATGGAATGTATTCTCCTAAGAAAGATTCATTAGACGTGTATGAGTCCCAAGTGGCAAACAGTGCTATGTGAAATGGCATGAAAATAAACTTAAGGTAGAGGAAAATAAATTAATTAGACCTGTCGTTTTTCTCAAGGGGAAAGAAATATACGAAACAGCAATTACTTTGCAACTGCACATTAGGAAGGCCAGTTGACTGTTTTCTCCATTCTTCATATTTTTAAATATAAATTGATTGGGTTTTCAATATAAGCAATCTTTGGGAGAATTTAGGAAATGATGAGACCAGATGAGGCCTGTCATTCAGGATTGTCAAAGCACCCGTGTAGCTCGGGGCAATATAATGTCTTCACCCAGGCTGGTATTGGAAGATTTTTTTGTCAGTGCAGAGCACAGAGGTTAAAAAACTGCCTCATTCCAGGGGATTCCGGAGCCAGGAAGCAGTCTCGGCACCGGGTCATCATTCAGCGGCCAGCCAATGGAGGCAGGGACTGCATGGATCCTCTCTATGAAGAGAAGGCCTGTGAGGCCCCCCAGATGTGCCAAAGCTACAGGTAACCGCGTTAAAGAAGAAGCATAGGGAATGGGACATTGAGCAAAATACTTCAAGTCTGACCCTGTCCCTCAGTCACTGTGGAGTCTGGGATGTTTATGGCTGTATGTGCCATCTCTTGCCTTTTTATTTTATTTTATTTATTATTATTCTTTTAAAGATTTTATTGGGGAATTGGGGGAGGGGAACAGCATTGGGGAATTGGGGAAAGAGAACAGACAAATTGCTATCCTTTTGTTCTTCAGTCTAATTGTGAAGGATGTCGCTTCACTGGCCCATGTTGGTATTATCATTGTGCTCTTCCCTGGAGAGGCAGTCGCTCGCCAACCTTTGGACGGCCGCTCACAGCAGCTCTTAGCAGCTCACGCTGGCTGCCAGCCACACATGGTAGCCCATGGCAACCCACTGCAGCAGGGGCTGCAGCCTACGCCATCGCTGGAGAGTCAGGGCAGCCCATCTCCAGGTTGAGCTGTTGTTCACCATCGTGGCTGTAGAGGGCACAGCGTCACTGGCCCTCATGTGGGATCCGAACCAGGGCCCCACTGCGGCTGCTGGCCACTCACGCTGGCTGCTGGCTACACACGGTAGCCCATGGCAACCCACTGCAGCAGGGGCTGCAGCCTACGCCATCGCTGGAGAGTCAGGGCAGCCCAGCTCCAGGTTGAGCTGTTGTTCACCATCGTGGCTGTAGAGGGCACAGCGTCACTGGCCCTCATGTGGGATCCGAACCAGGGCCCCACTGCTCAGAGCTGGTGTCCCATGCCAACTGTTAGCCAATGTGCCACTCAGCCGGCCCTCTCTTGCCTTTTTAAAAGAGCTGCTCTCCCACCAAAATGATCTCCAGGGAGTCAATTACTTGTGAAATTTCCAAGCTGTATTATTAGCTGCAGGAGTTAGGGGATATTTCTTATGTTGACGTAAACTGTAAGGAACACAGGAAAGTGGTTAATAATTATGAAACATATGCTTTAGGAAGCAATTCTTTTTCACTTAGAGGAATAACCTAAGCATCCCTCCCTGGGCTCCAGAGAGCACCTGTGCCTCCTCAGAGCTGGTATCCTGGCTCCCACAATGCCGTCTGTATCTCAGTGATGCCAGTAAGATGTCTGTTCTATTCATTTGCGGCCACCTCAAAGAAAATGAAGGTTATTGAAGTTATACATTATCATTTTGGTAATTATTAGAGACGTTTTTCCTCAGGACTCTTAAAAGAAAGCACCTAATTGAAACTTGATGTGGTATATAATTGTGACCCTGACAACAAGTGAAATATTATGGCATTCATTGATGGAACGTGTGATCGCAAAATAATAATTTAAGATGAAATTGATGACAAATTTGCCATCTTAATTTACCTGTATTTAATTCTGAGATGACAAATAATGTAATTGCATGTTTACATGATGAACACTGACAACTATTAGCCCAAATGTATTTGGGGGATTTGTATTTATAAAGTGTGTTATTATTGCAGTTTCTGAGTTACCCCTCTAACGCAAACCAAAAGAGCACTATACAAAAGATTGATTACTTGAGTGCAGTTTCACAATTTGAATATAAACGAAATATACCTCATTTAAGTAGAATGCACCTGCTTTCTGGTATGTCTGCTGGCAGTCCTAACCATTAAAAAGGCTAAACGCTATCAGTAGAGTTTATTCTCATTGGACTTGACAATGATGGACTCTGTCTCCACTGCCATAGAGGTACTTTAATATTTAATGCTGCTTTTTCTAATGCCTTGATGGAGATCTAAATTAAATTTAGATAGAATCGAGCATTGTCACATTTCTGTTTGCAGCGGTCAAAGTCATGTTTCCATGCCACCATATCTCTATGACTTGCCTGGCATTTTTGCTTCCCCTCCATGAGGTTTCTGTTCTTTTCTTGTAGGTGGAAGACTCACAAATGGCGCAGGTGCCAACTAGTCCCATGGAGCGTGCGACAGGACAGCCCCGAAGCACAGGAGGGCTGTGGGCCTGGACGGCAGGCAAGAGGTGGGAGGCCTCATTCCACAGCTGATTTGCTTTCTTTTCTTCTTTCTTTTTTTTTTTAATTAAAGTTTATTGGGGTGACAAGTGTTAGTAAAGTTACATAGATTTCAGGTATATAATACACCATCTATATATCACATTGTGTGCTCACCACCCAGAGTCAGTTCCCTTTCCATCACCATATATTTGATCCCTTCATCTACCATTCCCCTCCCCCCTTACCCTCTGGTAACCACTAAACTATTGTCTGTGTCTATGAGTTTTTATTTCTTCATTTGTTTGTCTTGTCCCTTTGTTGTTTTCAGTTTTGTATCCCACATATCAGTGAAATCATATGGTTCTCGACTTTTTCTGACTTATTTCGCTTACCATAATAATCTCAAGATCCTTCATTTCTCCAACATCTCTACCTTAACCACTAGCCTGATGAGTTTGTCACTTTGATGCCATGCTTAGCCAACAGAGCAGAGTAAATATGCATCTGCTACCACCTGTTCTACCTAACGCCAGAACACGGAAACTTGTTTTTTAAATTGTGCCCTTTGTTCTTTGACATTAGCCCATAACTCCTCTGGTTGAATTTTTCCCTCATTCTTATCCAGAACCATCAGATCATGCTCTTGAAAGGTTCATGACATAGATTAAAATGCAGCTTGTTTGTTGTCATTGTTTTAGTTTTTGGATCATGGTATTCCGTACTTTGTCACCTTATCAATAAGATCCTTGCATCCTTACCCATATGCATCATATATGTGCATGTATGTAAAGTAATATGATTGGTTAGCTTTCCCAGAAATTTTGAGCAACAGCATCCATAACACTGCCTTGGCTGTCCCCGATTCTGTTCGTATTCAGTACTTATTTTTAAATGGCAGATTTATGTACTTAAAATCTGCCATATGTGAACCACAATCTGTCTGCAATATTAGACAACATGGAATCTTGCAGAAGTGAATGATAGCCATGTTTCCAATTTGCCATGATTATTTACTGGGTCTTATAAACAATACTTATATTCTAAGCTTTGGAACATGTTATTCATGCATGTAGCAAATTCAGTCTTTAGAGAGCGCCTGCTTGTTTTTACTCATTTTGACTTTTAGCATGTAGTTCCACTACATACTTAAAATGTAGCTGGATATATAATTGAATACACTGCCACCTCTCTTTAATTCATAAAGACATGCTTTGCTCCCTCATTTATAGTTATGTCTTTGATGATGATGATGCAAAAGTCTGAACATACAGAATAGAATTCCAGCTATTGCTCATGTGACCTGGGACCCCTTTTCTTTACAGTGAAAAGATTGTTTTTCCAATTTGAGAAAAATAGCTTCTTTTTTATAAAAATCTTCTATTTTTATAATCATCATTTTAGAAGTCTTCATTTGAAACATAACATTTTGTTTTGATATTAATATTTTATTAATTGTTTTGATATAAATGATATTAACTACCCAGTGATTTTTAGTATTTTATTTTATATGTTTAATATTCATTATGTATCCTCTACCACCAGCTTTAGCTAAAAAAATAACTGCTTCCTCTTACAGTTACAGAGACTTAGGTATATAAAATTAAAAGGCATGCTCCCATTTTCAAACTATTCATCAAGAAATTGAGTGATATGAGACCTTCTTGACATGCCCTGCTAGTTCCTCCTTGAATCAAGCATACATTTGCGTGCAATTTGGGCCCTACCTGGAGTTTATAATGAAGACATATATGAACTTGGGAATTAGAAAACACAAGTTTTAGTCCCTGTTCTTTCACTGGTACAGTGTGAGTCTTTATTCATTACTTTCCCTTTGTGGGTCTCAGTTTATTTAAGTGGAAAAAAGGAAAAGAGGGTTGGACCAAATGATCTTTTAGGATTCTTCCAATTTTCATATTCTATAATCTATGCACAGATAATACTCAGGGATCCAAGTGTGAAATAAAATTAGGTAAAACAGAGGAAGACCGCACTTTTATAGAATGCCACTGGAGGAAATCTGAGATGTGGTGAAAACAGCTGCAGTTCCAAACTTGACTGCTTAACAACCGCAGAACCTTGGCTCATTTATTTCCTCCCTCTGAGGCCGAGAACATAATGATCCTCACAGTGCTTTGCACATATTAAGTCTTCAGCAAATGAGCACTACAAGTTAGGTCATGACCCCAATGAATGTGGGCGTAGGTCAGAGTGGGCATAAAAGCAATATCAACATGGGTCTTTTGGTTTTTGACACAAAGTTTGTTTAAAAACTGTTCTTCTGTGATGACCAGTAACCTTTTCATTTCCAAATCTGATAACCTGTGGTCATTCTTCATCCTGGGTGACTGTTCTGTAGTGTCTAATACTGTGACCCTCTGCCACCGTGAAAAGGCGTCTTCAGCTTCCCCTATGCCACTTTCTCCTGGCTTTCTGATTGTTTCAGTCTTTGTTTCCTGTTACTGGTTCCTCTTCCGCTGCCTGTAATTAAATAATATTTCTAATCTTGGACTACTTGTCTGACTATTTACTCTATCTCTGCAATCTTTCCTATTTTCAGGATAGGTGGAAAAAGTCATTTCTGTATAAATATACTAAGAAGAACCTCCTTAACTTCCACATGAAGATAATCTTTTTCTTTGTTGCCTTGGTAAAGATATTTTTTTTCATTTTTTCTTAGAACCTATGTTTCTGTAGAAATATGAAACAGGGAGAATAAAGAGTATAGAAATATCAGGGGCCGGCTGAGTGGCTCAGTTGGTTAAGAGCTTGCTCAAGAGTTTGAGCTCTGAGCAACAGCGGTTCGATTCCCAGCCCGAGCTGAGCAGCCGCTGAGCTGCCAACAGGTGGCAGGATGGCTCAGCTTAAAAAAAAAAGAGTCTAGAAATATATTTTGCATATGGCAAAAAGGCAAAATTTTATTCCTTTGCTGGTCAGGGCTATTTTCCAAACTCTGCATGATTGACCCATGAGATTCTTGCTATTTTCATCTTTGTCCTTATCTGGTCAGAGACTTAAAAAGTACCAACTTCTACTGTTTGTTAATGATTAAAGTACTTGAGTAGTAAGGATTAGCATCAATCAGCGAAGAGTATAGAGAAGCTATCCCCATTCTCTCTAATACATCAGACTGTCTAATTCCAGTCACGAGTTCAGTGGGATTGCATTGAGAAGACTGTGTCAGGAAAGAATGAAGATTTTCAAGCCAAGAAACTTGCATTTGAGTAGGGAAATGAGATCATTGGTAACATCAGCCACCATGTGTGAGCTAAAGATGGTGACTGATCCATTGCAAAAGCAATAATTTACAGCTAAGAGCTGTAAGAAAAACCTAAAGGAGGAACTGGGACTTGACTTGGTACCATAATATCAGAATAAGTAGAAAGGAAAAAAGAATATAAAATAAGGTTAACTTTATAAGGTAAGTATTTGAGGTAAGAAAAAACAAAAGCATTAAATGTGTTCACAGAAAAGTGGGTAGAGTGAAGCACTGAAGATGCGAGCTAGAGCCTGGGGTGATTTCGTCCAGGGCTATAAATGTCAGCATCAGTATTTTAGACCTTGTTCAATAAGTAGTAGGAGCAAGCACCTGAAGAAAGCAGTGTTTTATCCACCAGCATGTACAGAATAAATTAGAAAGGCAAGATGCATGGGTCTGGATGCCAGCTACTACGCTTTTGTGGCAATGCAAGGATGAAGTAATAGGGACTCAGACTGGAACCACAGTGGTGGAAATGAGCAAAAATAAATGAATTTTCAACATACAGTAGAGAAAAATAATTTTAGGACTTAGTGGCAGACAATCATAGCAGAAATAGAAATAAACAAGTGAAAAGTGATCAGATGATTCTTTAACTCCAATATTTTTAGCTTGAGAATAGTTATAATATTGGTGAACATTTCTAAGTCTGAAAGTAAAGCAAATTTTAGAAAGTATATTTTGTATATTATGCATTAGAGGTGATGGCAGGGGAGCCAATAGAAATATCCAAGTATGCGTTTGTAATGTAGAAATGTAGCTATAGAAATAGCTTAAGAAAGCAGTTAGAAATTTGTGTAATCCCCATAAAGGGATTTGTTGAAGTCATAGGAGAACCGAAGATCTCTAAAATGCATTATATACAGGGGGAAAAGAGGTTATTATATTTTACCATTAATAGATGTTTTTTCTCTAACCTGTTTGCATTGGTAGACTATTTAAGCATTTCTTTTTACCTAAAGAACTTAAACGGTATTAACTTTAAATTACTATTTCCTTGCTTGTGTCAGAAATGACACCATATGAAGTAAACCATGAGATAGCTAACTTTACCATTCTGATTTCAAAGGTAAAAATGTTTTATTACATAGCTTTTATCAAACTATTTGTCTAGACCAGTGGTCAGCAAACAATGGCCTGTGCACCAAATCCAACCCACAGCCTGATTTGTAATTAAGTTTTATTAGAACACAGCCATACCATGTATTTATCTATTGCCTATGGCTACTTTTATGATACAAGGCAAGGTTGAGTATAGTTGGCTCTCTATCCACAGACTCCTCATTTGCAGATTCAGCCAACCAGGGATGAAAAATAACCCTCAAAATGTTATGTTGTTGCTGACGGGTACTATATGGTTAAGCCTAGGATGGCTATATCTGAACTGAATATGTACAGACTTATTTTTCATGTCATTACTCCCTAACCAATACAGCGTAACAGCTATTTACATAGGATTTGTACTATGTAGGTATTATAAGTAATCTAGAGGTGATTTAAAGAATACAGGGATATGTACATAGGTCATATGCAAATACTATGTATGCCATTTTATATAAGGGACTTGAACATCTGCAGATTTTGGTAGCCAAGGGGGTCCTGGAACCAATCCCCGCAGACTCCAAAGGATGACTGAACTTTGCTACTGAAAGCATATGGCCCCCAGAGCCAAAAATATTTACTATCTAGCCCTTTACAGAAAATGTTTGCTGACCCCTAGTCCAAATTCTAATGCCACGTAATCCATGATATAGTCACAATTTCTAATAG